ACATTCCTTGACTTAGGGCAATAGCATTCAGTAAGAGTTCAGCCAAATGATGCTGAGTGATTCAATATTCGTGAGCACTGATTCATTGCAGTCCATATCTGAATTTTCAGTCAGTAGATCATTTCTTCAAGCAGTGAATGATAACCATAAAATACATTCTGTGGTAAAGCATATGTATCTTATAATGTCATGTATGTCATGAGTCTCAAAGGAAATTTACACTTTATGATTAAATTGAAGAATATGATCTTTATGTGGTAAGTTCATTACATCTCAAACTGTTGAGTTCATATGTAGGTTACCTCATATATACATCTAAAGGCTGTATGTTGCATAATAATAAAAAAATGTCACACGTTTTCTTAAAAATTTCCAGGTTTAAAGTACAGTGGATTCCTGTTAATTGGGACATATCGAGACTAGAACACTTTGGCCCAATTAAGCGGCTGCCACAATTATGCGAATTTCCATGTAAAGTGTTATAAAGGTTTGTTCTTTAAGATTTGTCCCAAATAAACGACTGCCCGAATTAACCGGAATCTACTGTATTGTGAAATTTGGGATGTCTGTTGGAAAAGGCATAATTTATTCAACCACAAAAATTAAAGGTTGCTTATTTGTAGAACAAATCATTTCACACTGAGTTGTCACAACAAATATATGGCAACTATAAACTGTACATATTCATGAAGAAAAAATAATTACAAAGTAATATATAGAAATATACAACATGAATGACTTGTGCTAGGAATATAAAGTGAATTGCACATAATTTTACCTTTCCTAAGTCTGTCATTATGTCACTGATACCACCTTTACTGAGAATTGGTATTTACACATTCTTTTAATAGGTATTTAACAAAGTACAATGCAGTAATGGTACACCCTGCATCTGTAGACATGGTGCCCTGTCTGTTGTGGTCTTCTGGGTTGTGACTCTGTAGTCAGTTGGGTCCATTAGATTGAAATGTTTTTGGTATTACCATGCTTTCTTACTTTATGTAAAAAGTGTGTTTCAGAAGTACTGTATATTTTTCTCGCATGTTTATGTTTCTTCTTCCAGAAATGGATCGCAGAAAAGACTATTGACAAATTTCAAAATTATTATGTCAAGGAATTCACAGAAGTGTCCCAAGAAGGGTATGTTACTGTTGACCAGATGTGGAATAATGTAATATATAGTAATATTAATAATAAATTAAAGATTATTTTTTATACCATTACGTCATTTGTCAGTCCATCATGATCAACTATTGATTAAGTTGAGTGATTATTATGAATGTTGCAAATATTATTCCATTTGATGCCACTCCACGTTTCTACCTTCAGTTCCAATACCTGCATGGTAACCAGATAAACTTATAAGGTGGCAGTAACACTAGCATCATTCCTGAAATTTTGAATGGCAGTAGAATTTTGTAAAGGATGTAACGTTTATTAAGATCATTTTTGTATAGAACATGGTGGCCATTCAGATTCTGTATTAAAATTTTTGTATTATACTGTGTGTTTAGGTTATTATTTATAATCTTACCATTCCAATTGCACATTCTTAGCTACAGTAGTTTATAAATAATTGTTATGAAACAGAAAAGTTTAATATGAAATTACTCAGAGTGAATGATCTGTACTCTTCTACACACACACCTTAAAAAAAAGTTGATTTGTGTATGTAGCTTACTTATTTTAAAATACATTTTTGAAAATGCAAAGAACATTTATAATCATCCATTATGTTCAACAAGTAATTATAAGTTGTTAATAAGTTGTACCTAAGTCCTTGTCATGTTTGAGAAAGTTGTGCTTATTTTGACAGGTGCCCACAGTTTTTCTTGGATTCTTTAGATGATTGTGAAGATGCTATCTGTGTCAATATAGAAGGAGTGCTGAAGAAAGAAAAATCACAAATGTGAGTTTATTATGAGATAAAATTCCTTCCAAGAAATAAAATGACTAGTGTGCTGTTGAAAATGAATCTAGTGGTGATTTTACAAAGATGGGTGAAACAAAGAGTTTATACTTGATTCATGAAAATCAAAACAAAGTTTATTATGTGCATTGCATTTATTAACTCATTTTGTAGCTTTGTAAGATGGGATTGAGCTCACCAGTTTGTTGTAAAAATGTCTGGAAATTTTAAGGTGTGTTTAATCCTTTCCCATGCCATTTAAATTCCATTAACCTTTTGGACCTGGATGACTGTTAGATAGCACAATACACGGATACATTCTTGAGGCAAAACAAGTCATTTATTGACCATAATAAGGGTAATCTGTTGCAGTGTTAGTGTGTGTGTTAGCCTTTGTTTGTCCTCACATTCTACTTTATAGTCTCACTAAGACATTGAAACAACATAACACAGAACTATTTTGGCCCCCTTTTTTCCAGGGGCATAAGGACTTTATCAGATCAGTCATTGTGTGTGATGGCTCCCCTATTCCGACTGCTGCGATCACTGCACTTTAGAATTGCAACTAACCTGGATTCTGTGGATGGCCTTCTGGGTTGTTCAGTAGCAATGCCCAAGAATATTACTAACTTAATCGATGACTTCCCTGAATTAAACTGTGATGAACAAATTTTTATATTGGACAGTCTGTTTTACTGCATAAACTGGTTCCGAGAGATAGTTAGTGCTTTCTCATTTCTGAGTGACCAAGAGATACAGATAAAGGTAATTTTAAAAATGGGTAAGTGTGAGGAGAGCTCAAGGAGGATTAAATTAAACAACGATGAAACCTGATTTAGTAATTCTAACTTCTCTGTATAGTGTCAAGATTACTTGAATTGACAAGATAAAAAAGAAGTTTTGTGTGTGTGTTACATAACAATTGTAGCCGTATGTGTATTTAATTTTTTTATAGTATGCATAATAACAGTTAGACTTTAGCATTGATTGTTATTCACTTAGTATAAAGTTTTAAATTTGTAATTTAATTGAAATATAATTTTGATTTGAAGAACATGGATGTTAGCACATGACTTTTACATAATTTCTTTTGCTGAATATACCTGTCAAGTATACACCTTACAATCTTCTTCACACTTGAAATTAACATGCAATATAGTTGGTTGTCTCACATATTAAGCCAGATAAAGGCATCTAGACATCTGTATATTAGTGATGGGGTTTTCTGACTGAGTAGATACATATTTTGGATGAATTTATATTCTGTGCTGCTGTGTCAGTGTACCAAATACTGTACATTCCATTTGAAGGAAAATGTGAGAAATTGTATGAAAGCTTGAGGTATCCATGATTTATGTTAAGTTGGTAGATGTGGCTTGAAATTCCTGTGGTTTTGGTGCTGTGTTGACTGGTCAATAGATGCCAATGTTTTTAAGGAACATACTGTCTCCATCGTCAGGGCATCTACCGATCAGTCATCATGGCACCAAAACCAAGAAGAACATCATTATTGTTACCACCATGAAAACCTCAAATCTCATATTGTGGTTAAAAGTTTGTATTAAAAATTGTGTCTATATTCCAGGTACTTAATCGCATTGAAAATATTATATCACTTCAGCAACTGCTAGCCAAAGGCCTGCATTATGCTAAATCTTTAAACTACAAGCCACCACATTGTCACTTCTGTGCAGATGCGGAACAACCACTGCAAGAAAAAGTGAGAAAGCCTGCAGCTAAGAAGAAGTAAGTTGTAAATTTTAACCTTTATTTGCTGTTGGGGGCAGACTCTTGAGTGAATTGACACTTCATATCCCTCTTAAAATGAGAAGACATGGTGGATGACCATCCCTTACTCTCCCACATATTGAGGTGTCTTACTCCATTAAGCATAGCATGGAGTGGCTAGGCACACCCAAAAATGCACCAGGGTATTGCCCTGGATTGTGACCATAATGCACTATTCTTCCTCAATACATTCTAAATAAATTTTTATATACTGTATTTACTAGTGTACCCCATGCCCACACACTTTTTTGAAAATAATTTACCTGTAAAATGGGGTGCACAGCTTACATGAATGTGAGTCATTGTGTACCTAACTGTATCTCTCTACCTGCTCCTTGTCCTTTAAAAGGGGGGTTGAGCATTACCTGCTTCAGTTATTATTTGAAAAATGAGTACAAAGGGTATGAGATTACAGTCTTTCACAGTAAGTGAAAAATTGAAGATAGTTTGGAAATCAGAAATCAGGCTACCAGGAGAAGGTTCAACATCAGTGAGGTGTGTATAAGAGACCGGAGGAAGAAGAAGGACCTTCTAATGGAGACTACAAGTAATTGAAGAGCCTTCAGAGGATCCAAACTAAAGTTTGAGGTAATTGTGGAGGAGCTAATGAGCTTTATTTGCGAGAAGTAGCAGTTTGAATACACAGCATCAATGGAAAGGTGCAAGATGAAAGTGTTGGAAATAGCTAGGGCCAAGTAAGTCACAAATGCTAAGGCAAATCAAGGGTGGTTGGTTAGGTGTTTTACCCACAATAATTTAACATAAGAAAATGGACCCAGATTGTGCAGAGGCTACCAGATGCATATGAAGAAAAAGTTACAAACTTTTTTTTTTATTATTCTAAAAATGGGGTGTGTGGCTTATACGAGTGCATGGGGTACATGAGTAAATACAGCAATTGTACAGAGTACTGTGTAAATTATGTAACATTTGGTTCATAATCTAGTCTATTAAATTTCTACAACTTTTCATATATCAATTACCTTGTTGAACATTATTTATCGAAGACCTAGAAATGTTTAACTAACCATTAAAATTGATGAAGGTACATGGTAGAACTTATAATACTGTCTTTTGGTGATACAAAGTTATGTTTGCATTCTTGCGTTGCTTCATAGAGCTGGTAAAGGTAAAGGTGCAAGAAAGGGCAGGAAGAAATGTGCTGGTGATACATCAGTGACAGATTTAAATGCAACTGGTCCAGATCGCCCACCATGTGATGTAACAGGGAAAGTGGATCTTTCTGCATACAAATGTTACTTTCGAGAATTAGACATGGAAGTATTTGTTTCCTTGAGTAAGACTCTTGTGATGGATAGGAAAGATGTGAAGGTAAGGTTTTAAATATGAATAAAAAGTCTTGGAGATATGAAGTTACAAAGTTCTGTAAAACATTAATTTCATGGTTCTGCACTATTTCTCACTAGTAAATGTTTCATATATATTTAGGAGATTCCAGTTCAAATATTAGTGAACGTCTATCTTGGTTTTGGATTATATGATTTTCCTCAAGCCCCCTTTTCAGTTGCTGGAATAGTACCTTCATATAGACCACAGTCACACTTCCTTTCACCCTGCCAAGTTGCCATTCATTATTATCTTCTCACTTCTTTTAATGGTGTGTAACTATTTACATTATGCCAGTAGTTATAATTTCATTTCATGTTGCTAACACTTTAATTTTTTTTAACTAGTGGAATGTGTGCTGTACAACTGTAAATCTTGTTATAATGTTGATCCATGCATCTGTTCTGAAATACATTATCCTGTCATCCTGTTCTTTGACAATAATGCTTACAAACATTTTCATGTGCCTAGTAACCTTAGTAAATGTGATAAAATGGAAGTTGTGTTAAATGTCGTGGCTTTTATGTTTGTTTGGTTAGGTTTGATTGTAAAGTTTGTAAATTTATTCTTTTTTTAAGGGATTGTTTTGACTTCTTACCACGAAGTTTGGTGTTTTGACTCATAAAACTAAACTTCCTCTTCTATACACCATTGTCTCCAGTTTAAAATATTCTGTAACAATTCTGTGTACAAACTAAAAACTAAAAAGAATTGTAACTTTATCCCATGTTTTTGGCACTGAAGCAGGTGTGACAAGGAATTTGTATGTATGGTATGATTTATTAAATGGTGACTATAGTATATGCAGGACTGTGATATTTTTTCAGTGTGAGGTAACCAGAGTGTTCATAAAATTCAAAATAAACTGTTACAAGTTCTTAGAGGAGTCTTGCAAGAAATATCTCTCTAATGAAACAAAGTAAAAAATTAAATAGAAGTAAAAAAACTTGGATCCTCTGCATTTTGTTTAAGAAACCAAGTAAATTGTTATATCTAATAAGATAGTCATTTCAGATTCCTGATGTTTAATTCCCATAAGGCATACATGCATATAAAATAATCCTTGAACTTTAATTTGTCTGTGCATACCAACAAAGAGATTGCAGATCTGTTGAACTCTGGTCACAAATTGAAGCATTTTGTTCTTTTGTAGGAAGGTGAACCAGTAATATATCCATCAGGGTTGCTCTTCTTGCTAGAAGATTATGTTGCCAAACTGGACCATTGTCTTCCATCTACGGTGAAGCGAATTAGCTGTCTGGCAACCTGTCGGCAGGTAGCATCTGTAACATATGTTTTGTATTCCAACCTGGATCGTATTGCTACACCACGCATTGCTCACCGTGCTGTGAAACTCCTGACATATATTTTGAAGAAGCTAGAGAGCACTGCTGAATATTGCCAGGTGAATATATTTGAAGGACAGTAACAAAAATTAATTAATGATTAATTGGAAGTTAGGGGTAACAGTATTATAATTGTCCATTGATGTTTCCTTCAGGCTAGATTGTTCTATGTCTAACCCTACTAGTCTCCTTAAGCACTTCTCTTGTATTTATATTCACTCTCCATATCCATTTTGTGTAACTTTTGTTCCTTGATCATGTATACAACATCTTCTTTTTTTACATTCTCAGAGGCATTCTGTGTTCTTCCATTACAATAGTGTTGTTCAATAACTATGTTAACAGTGAATTTGAACATCATTAGTAGTGAGGGATGCAAATTGACTAAGAACTCATTTTAAAAGTATGTGAATTCCTAATTGGATTTTTCCATTGTAACATTATGTTCATATAAAACTAGATACTTAGTTTCGTGTATGATATCTTTTAATGAAGACATTAATGTATGTGAACTCCAAACTGGATTTTTAACTTTAACTGTATGTTCATATAAAACCTTAAAAATTACTCCCCGGATTTCTTAAATGTGGCTCCTGGGCTTTCATCAGAGTGTGTTCAAAGAGGAGACTGAGTGTTATTTCTGAGTATGGGTTTTATATCTTTGACGCTTTTATTTAAAAATAATAGTAACTGTATTTTGAATCCATAGAAGTGATGATTTCAAAAGGTATTTTACTTTCCAGGCACTCCTAGATTCAAATGATGGAATTTATGATGGGCCAGAAATGTTCAAAGAAGGTTCAGCGGAAGTGAAATTATGCTACAGCATGCTACTTCAATCAATAGCTTGTACATTGGACTGGAGTGGATTCCATAGTAGATCATACACTGCCTTACTGAAAGGTAAATACATATGCTATTTCTGTCTTGAGAAATGTTATTTGTTGACTTTATTTATCTTAAAGTACAGTGATATGTGTTCATGTTTCCACAATGCTAAATCATTGATCCAATAGTTCTAGAACCTTTTTGATTAGAAAGTATTTAACTATTTACTTCAGCATAGTATGGATTATTGTTTGCAATAAACACTTATGTTTATCTTAGATTCATTGCCACACCAGCATTATTCTTGGAAAAGATTCTTAAATGTAGTAATTTTGTTCCAGATTGCTTATGTGTAATAGCAAGCAGACAAAATAAAGAAGTTGCTAAGGCAAAGCTTATAAAAGAGTTGGTTATGGTGAGTTGTGAGTACTTTTTTCAATATGCAAGCCGCACATTATATTTGACATCTGCTGAAAACCTTGTAAGAGTCATGCAGGCTCTTTCCAACTTTCTGCCTGCTGAAGCAGAACCCAAGCGAAAGCTAGGTGTGTAGAACCTGTTTATCAAGTTAGTTTATATCATTTTTCTGACCTAAACACTTATACACATTGCAGGTCGTAGTTTGGAATGTACAAAAGGGTTGGAGTATGGAAGTTGTTTGTGGATTTCGCTTTCATTTAATTTGGTCTGAGTTATGAAATCTAAGAAAGACCCTATTATCATTAGACGTGAAGTCACTGGGCTCTGGTTGAATGGAGTTTCATAAAGTCCGCTGTTAACATTGCTTGCCAGAGTGTATCAATCAAATTCTGTTTTATCCATATTTGACAATATGGACTGAAATTGCACATGAATTTCCAAATTTGGCAATGAAAAAATATTCTTGTTCTGTACGTGAGTATTGAGTAATGTATGGACTTTTTAATAAAATATAGATATTTTATGAAAGAATTGTAAGGTTGAACTTGGTTTGGGCAAGTATTTGAGTAGTATTTTAAGTTTGGAGAAGATTATGTTAACAATTTTCAGAGGTTTTATTAATAAGAAGTAATTTAATGTTTCAGATGTGTTAACTTCATAATTATTATGTGTTTTCAGCTGAGATGTGTCTTGGGTTTCTTTCTCGGCAATGGTACACACTAGATGGGTTACCTGAGCGTGGAACTGTATACAATCACCAAATAGAATCACTTGTAAAAACTTATTTTACCAATGTGCCTGATAGGTTGTCAGTTATTAGTACCACTGCTGAATTGGTAAAAAATGAAGTACAGACAATACAGAACAAGGATTCTTGTTTGGATAAATTTCCAACAATTGACAAGTAAGTTATAATAGTATATTTAGTCTTTAAGCTTAAAACAATGCTGGTTACATTTAAAATGAAACCCACATATATGATATCTCTGAAAGAGTATCTACTGGAACATTAACTGGAGAGAACCTGAATTTAAGAGAACTTTGTACAGAAATAGAGGCTCTGAGCATAGGAAATTAACACTTAGTGTGGGCAGACCTTAAATAGAAAAATATTCACTGGAAATTTCTCTTATGTAGAGCAGTAATGAGTGCATGTATGATTGTATACACATTTAAGATTTCTGTGTATTGCAAGAAGTTCAAACTGTGTACTGTGGCCAAATCTACTGAAGGATATAGGTAATTGTGCCTTCGCCTCATGGTATGGGGGTTTAATTCCTTTGTTTACAATGGTTAAATCCTGGCAGATATGACAATTGTTACACTGTAAATACATTTCCTAATGTATTTTTGTTACACCGAAAAGTCCTAAACCTAAAAGGGGCAATATTGTTAAAATGTTCTATATCCTGAACAAGGATGCTGAGGGCTTTAGAATGAGTAAAGAGAGCCATGAAGTGATCAAGAACAAGATGGTTTTGCCTGTTATAAGAAGACATCAAGCAAAAAATTGAAAATTAAAGATTGCAGTAAGTTGAAAGAGTTTGAGGCTTTTGTCCTTTAATCATTATAGAATGAAAATGATACTGGAAGATGTAGAATGCCTTGCTGATGGGGAGGCTACTGTAAAGGGGATATGTTTGATAACGTTTAGTTCTTAATCCAAAATGTCAGCCATAAAACCTTTCGCACGGACTTCATATATGCACCTGCCAGTATAATTTAACAAATTTGTTTGTGTTGCACCGATTGGGCTGCTGTGTGTAAGATCTAGCTTTCAAGTTTCACACAGTCTTGTTGTTACAGGAGCAACTTTCCTATTTTGTATCGCAACTTATGGTGTGCACTTGGAAATGCTACTGGCGAAGCATTGAAATCATCAGTAGGGAATGCTTCCAAGTTTGAAATTTGGCACTCAGTATGCAGTACCATGTCAGTTCTCACAGGTATTATTAAACAGCGTGATCATCGTACAAATCTCCATGCATACATTCAGGTAAGATCTTAGATCTTAATGTGTTGTGTTCCTTCCTACTGACATATGCAGTAGATTGTGTAATATATATGCTGAGTGATTACAGAAAGCTATACTGCTCTGGGTCTTACAGATTGTCATTAAATTATATAACTACTAATAACCACAACACTGTTTATCTTTCTTAGAGTTTGCAGCTGTGGCCTTGTCAGCAATTATGGAATGGTAACTAGGGTTATCCATTATGATCACAAAAATTAAATTAAATCCATGGCGTAATGGCTCCAGAGAGCCAAAGCTGACTAGCATGACTGCTGGTCTCACGTTCACATGCCTAAGCAGAGGTGAACGATCATCCAACCAGATATAGAGTGACGTGTGGTCAGCACGACGAACCCCCAGCCATTGCTGGCTTTCCTGACCGGATTACGCTACTCATTGTAGCCCCCCAATTTCCTCACGATGCTGGTTGGCACCAGTCCCATATACTGGTCGAAAGCTCATGAGAAAATTTCTTCTCTCTCGAGACTTGAACCAGCATGCATTCTGTATCGCCGGTCTGAAGCATGATGCCTCAGACTGCGCGGCTATGGCGCGGGACCCCATTATGATCACAGTTCCCTGATTATTTCGTTCATTTATTTGTTTAATAACTGAACATGAGGTGTCCTGCACCGTAGCCGCGCGGTCTGAGGCATCATGCTTTGGACCGGCGATACGGAATGCGTGTTGGTTTGAGTCTCGGGGGGGAAAAGAAATTTTCTCATGAGTTTTCGACTGGTGTGTGGGACCGGTGCCAACCCAGCATTGTGAGGAAATTGGGGAGCTACAATGGGTAGCATAATCCGGTCATGAAAACTAGCAATGGCTGGGGGTTTGTTGTGCTGACCACATGTCATCCTATATCTGGTTGGATGATCGTTCACCTCTGCTTTAGGCATGTGAATGTGAGGCCAGCAGTCAAGCTAGTCGGCTTTGGCTCTCTGGAGTTGTTACGCCACAGATTTAATTTTTTTAACTGAACATGAGGCATGTGAATGTGAGGCCAGCAGTCAAGCTAGTCGGCTTTGGCTCTCTGGAGTTGTTACGCCACAGATTTAATTTTTTTAACTGAACATGAGGTAATAGGCTTTTTGTGATAGAGAAAAATATGGTATGAAGTTTCAGATGAATACTTTGTAACTGATAAAATGTCATGAATTGGAGTTTTATTTTTATTTTCTGCATATGTTGACAGCAATCTCAAGTGATACTAAAGTTGTTCCTTTCGGATGGAATGCCAGTGTTGGAGGCACTTCTAAAATCCAAGTGTGCAGATGTCATCAGTATGCTGAAGGTACTCCAAGTTACAACACGGTACCTTCATGCTCTTTGTATTAGTACAAAGGTAAATATTCTGTAATTTCAATGGATTTAGTGTTAGTTATTCATTACAGTGAACCTTTGGGTTCCATGAAAGGCATAAAATTTCTGAACTAGTTCAGCAACTGTGAAATTCTCAGGAAGGACTCTGATCCATGGAGTCAGTTAATTAATTAGTTAATGTGCTTTTACTGTTCACTGGCTACAAAATATTTCAGATAAAATCTGTAAAACTCCAATGAGCAATAATTTGTTCTATACATTTCCTCATTATGATCAATAATTCTTCAGAATCCTCTACTGATGTATGCCTCACTTGTATTTTGCATTGAAAATGTGTTTTATTAGATTTACTTCAAGAAATAAGTGTAAATTTATAAATTTGGAACCATGATTGAGACAAGTATCAGTTTGAACATTTATATCCTCTCCCACTTCTAATGAGATTTTATTATAACAAATGATATGTGCAATTTGAGGTTTTTACAGCAGTAAGAATGTTGATGTTGATCTTGTGTGTGGACTTGTATTAAATACTGTTTTGGAGAAACATCCTGTCTTCATCTTGAGGGTCTTTTCATGCCTGCTGTATTTTTTCAGTTTTGTCAGAATGCTATATTTTCTTGTTCTTCAGAGAGAGAAAATGGCGAGATTGACCAATTATGTGCCAGTAGTCCGTAGGACTCTTGAGGCTCTTATCTTTAGAGTCAAAGGTATGCTAGTTGCAAATAACAGTGCTGATGCCTTTTGGATGGGAAACCTCAAGAATAAAACCATCAAAGGAGAAGAAATTCTGACACAAGTAGGTATTTTATTTAAAGTATTTGTACTCTGTCTTTCAAAATATTGTCATTTGGTACAGCCAAGAACAATACAAAAATAATTCATTTTATAGTGCTCAGTTTCATTGTGTCTTAACTCTTTCAAACTAATTTGCTTTGATAAAGTATTTTGTAAGAAGCACTTTCTTTGGAATGTCTTGAAATTATAACTTTGGCTTCTCGGGAGTCAGGAAGTATAAATGGCATCTATTTGGAGAGATAATATTAATAGTGCAATTAAAATTATATTTCTCCGCTTTGTACGAGGGTGAGTCAAATGAAAACCGTAAAACTGAGATAAAAATTCGAAATATCACGCCATTGTCCTATAAGTTGGCAGACATGTTACCAATGCTATAAAGAGTATCCTATAGGTGGTAGTATAATGCAGACAAACATATCGCCATCACAGTGCCAATTTGAAAATGGCTGCTCCACTAGTTACGTGCACGAAAGAAGAACAACGTTCTGTAATTCGTTTTTTGATCAGTGAAGAATATTGAAGAATCATCTTTGACCTGCAGTCAGATCAAAGCGATGTGGACTTTTGACTAGAGGTGTCCTTGACATGACAATGCTCGGCCCCATACTGCCCGTGCAACAGTTGCAACAATCCAAGACTTGCACTTTGAGTGTCTTCCACATCCGCCATACTCACTAGACCTAGCCCCAAGTGATTACCACATGTTTGGGCCACTCAAAGAGGCGATGGGAGGAAAGAAGTTCCGTTCTGACGAAGAGATACAGCAGGCGGTGCATGAGTGGTTGCGCAGACAACCACAAGAATTTTTTTCTAGAGGAATCCATACACTTCGTAAACGCTGGAGGGCCTGTATTGAACGAAATGTAGACTATGTAGAAAAATGATATAGTTGTGTATCGCTTTCACTCAATAAATTAAATTTAAAAAAAAAAAAATACGGTTTTCATTTGACTCACCCTCGTATATGCATCTGAATGATGTCACTGTTAAGAATGAGAAGCTGGATCATATAAAATTCAACTTGATAAGTTATAAAGTCAGACTGTCTGTTTCATGTGTGCATAGCCACTGTCTGTAGTGCCTTTAAACTGTGTCCACAGTAAAGTGACTGGCTGTAGCCAAGATGGTCTGAGTCAATCCTTGGAGAGTCTTAGCAATTTCTTTTATGAACACATCCAGAATAATTGTAACCACTCAGTTTCCTAACAGGTTAATCCTGGATGAAAGGGAAGAGCTGTTCATAGTTTGAAGGTGGCTGGATCATATACAGAGATGTGAGAGTGTGTGGAGTCTTATCTCCTAGCTATATGCCTTGGTAGCTTGATTAGACATAGAGATTGTATAGTACCTCCATTATTTAATGTTTGACCTTTCTCTTTTTGTTTGTTTTGGAATATATGCCTTTACTGGTATATGAATTCTGTAACTACTCACATATATTTATAATAATTACATTCAGCACTATTCAAACAGTTGCATCAGTCTTCTTGAGGTGTCTTTATAACTAGAAGTTGCAAAAACGCAACCTTCATTGTATCTGTCTAGCTCTTTGTCTCTTTAACCATCCACATCAAACAACTCAGGGATCATAAAATTTGATATTGGAGTTTACTTCACAATTTTTCATCACATTCCAATTTTAATTAAAATCCAAAAAAATAACGATCACTTTACGTGAGGGCCTCCTTCCATATGTGTGCATGGAAGTGACTGGGAATTCCCCAGGTTACCTGGGAAATTTCCACTTTGAGAATCCCATGCCTGTTGCACAACCATGTAGAGAACCCAACATACTGAAGTGATCAGTCAAACAGGTGCCAGTTACTCTGCCCATGCAAAGGTCAAAGGTCAGATTCTGGAAATTTCCCAGATTGTTTAGCAGTGCATGCTTCCTAACTTGATAATGTTATGCCTTTGGGTGCTGTGCCTTTGCAGGACATGACATCAAGTGAACAATATGACAATAATGAAGAAGAAGAAGAAGAAGAAGGCCTTCTTGAAGATGATTTGAACAGCCAAAAGGACAAAGATGCTAGTGACCATGAAAGCTCTATGAGTGAAGGGTTTTAAACATGCTATACTTTTATCAAGTAAGTCTCATATTTACTAAGGAAGTTATTTATTTTTATTTGTAAGGTTCAAACATAAGGGTAGACACATTAAAAAGTTTCTTTTAGCTTACCACAGCAGTTCAAGAATAAGTATATAATATTTTATAGTTAGGTACATTTGGAAGTCAGTTTATAAATGTTTTGCACCACTAATTTTATGCAGTTTTAATATATAAACCTTATGACAAAGAGAAATTTAATGGTAGATTGACCCAGGTTCATATGACATGCATTTCTGTGTACAAATTTTAAATATTGTTTGCATGTCATACAGATTTTTATTTTTATATTAATTTCGTCTTCAACCTTACAAGACTCATAACACTGTGCAGTCTGTGATATTTTGTTAAAGTAACATGTTAAACCATGTATAATTTCCTTTAAGATAGAATTATAATTGTTATTAGTTTGCAATGCTCATATTCCTGATATAGATACTTCAGTTCTACTACTTGAAAATATTTCCTTCTCTTAACTAGTAAAACTATGTTAACAGCTCTCCAATTGACAGGTATATTTTGCAGATATCCATGTAGGGTTTTGTGGGTCAATAGGCTCCTTCATGGTCCATTCCATAAAATCAACTTCTCCTTGTCTATTAATGAGTATAATACTGTGGGTCCTGGAACAGGATGATTAAAATTATGTATTTTAATTGTGAATGAAGTAATCAATAAAGGAAACTGACATTACAAGGAACATTTTTTCACAACCTCCAATTTGTTTTGCTGATACAAAAAAAATTAGTGACTTACCTGGTACCATATCCATGTTCTGGAATGGTGACAAACACTGAACTTGTTCTTTCCACTACAGAAGGAGTTTTACCAAGCAGTCGTCGTTGTAGTTCAGGATCAGGAAAATGGCTATTTGTAAACAGTATGTAAGAAACACGTTTCAAGCTTGTGTACTGAACATTAGGCAGATACAAGTGTTAACAAGGCTTCTAGCATGGTAACTGAAGAACCTAAATGATCTATTTGATGAATGGTTGCCATTGGCAAACTCCATCATGAAGCTGTTGTGTAAAAACAACAATTCTACATTAAGATTAGCTGCACCTGTGTAGCTTAAAGTTTGTGGGGTTCTTGCATACATGAGTTTGACCTTCCACACTTTTCTCAAGCTCACAACCTATTCTGAGTGATGAAGCAGTGAAACAGCAGTGTCTTTGTGCATTCCAAATAGTCTACAAGTCTGATTATTGGTTGGATGTTTGAAGACATGTACAGTATAAAAATTAATGCCTTTATAAGGTACTGAAATTGAAGAGGCATCATAATCAGAAACAATGAATATTCACACTTAAGCTGTATTTTAGTATTTAGTTTTGATTATACTTCTCACCATCTGTAGGTGAACAACCTTTGGATCAATTGGTGGACTAGGCTTGATGTCAATAATATTCTCTTCCACTTCAGTATATTACACTTGATATGATAGGGTCAAAGTAATTAAGATTAGTTCGGACTTACACGCACAGAGGAAGAATGTAAAAGAATTGACTCATTAGTGGTGCAATGCAAATTGGATGTGACATTAGTGTTCTATCCCTGCTCTGTTTCACAAGTTGTGTAACATGGCCATAATGAGTGTAACATTTTTTATTAATACTCACTTCAACAAACATGGGATGTATGTGAATAAAATATCACAGGGTTAATATGGTTCATCACACATCCTTAAAGGTACTGGCATTGAAGACAAAATCCTGCATCATTGTTTCTAATTCATGAGATTTTTGGTTTGATTCCAGAGAGTCAAGTATAATTATTTAACTAATAATCTGGTATTAGCCCTAACCTCTTGTCCCACTTAAGCAATGATAGCAGCTCTTGAACTAAGATGTCCTTGTCTTTCATTGTCCCATAAGCCTCCACGATTTCCTTAAAATGGGAGGTTCCAGCTGTCACCTTGCGGAATGGATGGCCAAGGATTGAGTTTCCCCATCCTCTTGGTCCTGAGGCAACATTCTCTGCATGGTCTTTACAACCATAAGCATTAGAATACTGCTGCACATTGATTTGCTTCATGCTAAGATAATAGTTAATGAAGTGAGAATGATGGAATTAATTATAATTGATGAATTTGAGATACATTGAATGCTATGTTATGGATAAGTATCAAGTGAAACAACTGGGAATTATGCATAGATCTTTGAGAGTTAGAAGCCTGTATGCTATTTAGTAGTCAAATTGTGTAACTTTGTTGTGTATTATATGAGCCCCAGTTGCTGCTCACAAGAACAGGCACTAAAATTATGTATTCCATGTGTGGCCTAAAAAGAAATTCATCACAAACAGGCAATTTGTGCAGTTGAAGTCCTTGGTGGAATAAGACTATACTGATCACGAGATAATGTGTCAGTTTATTTACATTTAATCTCTGTATTAGCTCTTGCACATGCCCACTTTTTTTTGCCATATCACAGTCCAAGAATAAGCTGATGAAGTTGTTTAACAAATTGTTGAAACAGTTCCCATCGCTCATGCGTGTGTTAACATCCCAGCTATCTAATTCTTCATTTCATCACCCTAATAATATTTTTGTGAAAAATATATAAATTGCAAAGCTCCAGATTATGCAACTTTCTCCATCTTGGGTCCAAATGTTCTCAACACTGTGTTCTTGAATACAGCCTGTCTTCCTTTAAGTAGAGAGACCACATTTCAGAACTGTACAAAACAGATGTTAAAAGTAGTCTTGTATTTTTTAATCTTCCTGTTTTTAGTTTGGAGACAGGAAGACAAAAGACAACTGATAATCATTGCAAAAAATATCTATTTTAATATTAACAACATAATTATTGTGCATTTGATCATTTAATACAAAAGAAATTTATTTTTGGATTAATATTTAATTGTTGAAGTTTTACCTGATATCAATACTGATGAAATTGAAGGGGCTGTGTTTATGCCCATCTTTAGATAGCCTTACAAGGTATTCCTCTTGCATTTCATGCTGTTTGTTGGTTACAAAATTAGGTACAATGAAACCCCTCCCAGTGCTGGAAGATGGATCTTGTGTATTCTCACCCGTCACATTAAGTATCACTCCAATACGTCCATGAGATGAGAGAGCCAACCAGGACCCCCCTTCTTTCCCTGGTTCTAGATCACGACCTATATATTATTAATAAATATTAATAAAACGACCCTGAATATTGTTTAATAAAATATATCTTTTCTATTTCAATTTCTAATGTATGATACTGTCAGAATGCATGTATTGTTTTGTTTAATGTGTTTTTTTATTTTTTTATATCTTAACTGCGTCATGTTTGTGTTTAATCAATATAATAATTCATTCACCGCCCATACACAAACTTAAAATGTTGTTAAAATTTACTTAAAATTACATAAAATTACAACATTTTTTAGAATTACATAAAATTACAACATTTTTTAGAATTACATAAAATTACAACATTTTTTAGAATTACATAAAATTACAACATTTTTTAGAATTAGATCTTGATACATGTGAAATGTATCAAGATCTAATTCTAAAAAATGTTGTAATTTTATGTAATTTTAAGTAAATTTTAACAACATTTTAAGTTTGTGTATGGACGGTGAATGAATTATTATATTGTTTAATGTGATAAAGGCATCACAGACATTGAAGTTCATGCAAGTAACTTGTAACAAATTGCTACATTTGCAGATGTGGTGTTGCTGCCTTATTTATGTGTAAAGAATTTTGCAGTTGGTTTTGTTGTTTATTTTTAATTCTGTAAGGACAAGTTCTTATTGTTATGCTCTGTTTGAACAGGTGCAGTACTTCAAAGCCTGCATATAGAAATACATTACAGTCAGCTGGGGAAAGATTCTTCTCTATTGAAATGAACATTCCAGCACAAAACCTTTCACAGACTGTAAGCATATGCAGTTATTTCAGTCTTCATTGTAAACTTGTTCAACCAGTAACTATTTAATTAGGCAATTACTACATGTTGGCATGATTTCAGGTATTTTTCTTTGGTGATGATTTACATGCACATACAATATTAACCATACAAGTAGAAGTACAAATTCTTGTAATGGCTGATTAGAGCAAGTTATTTATCAGAAAATACTACTTAAAATGCTGAAGTGATAAGAATTTGACATCCAATTACATAGTAGTCACAGATGTCAAAAAATTATTATTTACCACTCATGGATTCAGCTCTTATTTTCCAGAACATGTATGGGTCACTCAGCTGATAAAAAATCAACATTTAGACTTTTGCAATTCTTAATGTTGAAGAAATGTCAGCTGCCACTTTTAGGATTAAATAAATAAAGTAATACCCAATATGCATACATCAACACCTTAAATATGCCAACAGTTTTTATTATCATTGAAACTTTTAGTTTACTGAATAATCAGGATGGTAGCTTCATGTATTTTCTGCCAGTCAGCATTGACTGCTTGAACTTCATGTGTACATACATGAGCAAAAGTTTTTGTTGATGGGTTAGACATTTCAACAATATTTTGGTACCTTTTGCACAAGTAAAAGGTCTTAATAATAAGAACAAATTTTTGTATAGCCATGCATGTGATATAAACAAGTGTAATGGCCTTCAGTAGACTAAGGCAATGTATATGAAAAACTGCAACACTAGTATAATGATAAAACATCTAGAATCTGTGGTGAAAGTATTATTCTGCATTCCACATCATGGCTAAAATATATTCTGGTCTCTTGTAAACAGTACCTCCTATCACTGTAGGATCCTCATCCCAAAAATTAGCCTGACGAGTTGGGCGTTGGTAGTATTCATCTCTGTTGGAGGCCAAAATCAGCCTGAACTTATTGGGTGCTGGATTGTTGTCAGTGTGAAGAAATAAGATACACATCACTAATGTAGCCTTGGTACCTAGCACTGAATGGAAAATTACATAAGAATAATTTTATGTCTTACTGATTGACTCTTCAATTACTTGTCACTAATTTATTTGCTAACATATGAGGCATTTGATTCTGATGTACACAAACAAAAATTTTTCTGTGAAAGAAGGATGAAATATAAAGAACTGGAAAAATTGGCTTTAGACATTCCAGCATTTTGTTCAGTCTAAGCCAGAAGTTTATCACTGAATTGATTTTGATAAATATGCATCAGTTTTTGTTGTTGTTGTTGTTGAGAACAGTGATAATTCCTAGTATTTTGCAATATCTTTTAAATAGGTAATGCAACTTGCAATTCTTACAATTTGTCAACATATTCAGTAACAAAATGACAAGAAATTTGAGTTCATTTACAAATTAGTGCAAAGCTGATCACTATTTAACATGTAAAGATTGCTTTCTTGTGGGTTGTAGTGTCGTGTTGTTTGGTAGAAGTGTACCAACATTTCAGAGGTCCTTGCTGCCTCCATCATCATGATAGAGTCGTGGAATTATAACTCAGAAGACAGACATCTTTATACTCACTGTCATGAGAACCTCAGATCCTATTTAAAATCTTTTGTGGTGTGCTGTCTTTCCATAGACACACCAATGTTGTACATTTATTAAGAAGGTGTAGGGTTTTTACAATTTATTGTATTAATTTTTATGCCAAACCAGATGTGTAAATATATGGTTACTAATGATGATTTCATGAAGCCTGAAACACATTTGACAAGTAAAGTAAATAAATAACCAATAATTGTGGCAAAAGTTATTGGTTTATGTAACTTTTGTATATCTGAAGTGTGTTTGTATAAAAGAATGCGAGACATTTTAGACTGTAGCATACCTAGGTAATGATTAGTTGAAAGGACTATATCCTGTACACTTTTCAAAATCTTACATGGCACTTGGGGTCACTCTCAATCACACACACACATACATCAGATTGTTCCAAGAACTTTTACAGAGTGATCTTGTATGTACGGTTGTGGGTTTCAAGAGCACTTGTCATTGTTTATTTTAGGATAAGAGAAGACAATGCCTTCTACAGTGTAATTCGCTGCACATGATGCTTTTGATTTATGACCAATTGTGTGGTTACAGAGCTCTGCATATGTAACTTGCTTTTAACACGTATGATAAAGGTATTTTACAGTTAGATAAATTAGAACATTTACCTACCAGCACAAGGTTTCAAACAACTGTTACAAATACAAGTTATTTTTTTCAACCAGAAGATAACGGATTGAAAAGATATGGTGCAAATAATATTTTACGGAGGTATTTGCTAAGCCAGTTCTTGTTATTATGAACCAAGTAGAAGTGGCTGTTTTAGTGAAATAAGAGTTGACAAAAATGAAACTGAGCCATTGTAAATGTTGCTAGTTTATTTTAACATATATATACGGAATACAGTTTATATAACATCCAACAAAAATATATAATAATGTATTCTGTATGCATGGTCCATGGCAACAGTAAAGTAGACCCTGGTGCTTAATTTAGCATCATACCATGCAGATGAAGGGGTGGTTAGCTTCACATTCTGACTGGTTTTCCTGGAGAAGAAACTCTGATACCTATAAATATTCTGAGTGGACCCTAAAGCCAATCTTGACATTATAGCAAAGAAGAATTTTGTTGAGCCAGGATTCAAACCTCTGTCCACCCAGTGACCTGTTAATAGGACTGATTTGTTCAAAAAAGGGTTAGCAAAACGTTTATAGCCACTTTAGTGATATTTGGGGTACTTTACACAGTTTAAATTGTGCATAGAATTTAGTTGTGTGTTAGTGAGTTAGAACATGAATTATGAGTTATATGTAAAGTGATGTGAAACAGAATGGCATTCAGATGCATGTTGTGTGTAGGACTTGGCAGGAGTTGGATCAGTATACTAATGAAAAAGGTTCCTGTAAAATTGTTTTTCTAGTCAATTTGGTACTATGTTGATGGGATCATTGCCTATCATCATGTACTGCTGCAGAAGTAACTTACAGGTACCATTCTGTTTTGCATCCATTATTGCAGATCAGACAGTTTTTAGCTTTTTGTTCTTTAATGGTATTGGATGGGAGAGAAAGGTGATTTTGAACCTGAAGAAGTCAGTTACATTAATAAATCAATACATTCATATTCTTTTGAGACCAGGTCTGCATTCACTCATTCTTATCAAACTGTGGATTATTTGGTTAAAGGACAGTTTATTGAAAATTCATTGCAATTTGTTTAAAATGTTAATATTGCAAACAGGCCAACATATGACTCCATATTAATTAAATTGTGTAGATTTGTATTTTTATTAATTACATAGTTGAAATGTTTAATTTATGCGGTAACAATTTCTTCATTATACGGAGAGGCTCAATAGTACAAAAACGTAGGCGGGCCGCGCTTTGAAAACCCCTATTTTATTGGTGACAGATGGCAGCACGGTAATTAAGTTTACTAGTAAATGGTTCGTATTATATACCGTCAGATGGCTACATCTGCCCAGAATTAATTATCTATCAATGACTAGTGAAACAATTGACAAAATTTAGCTAAATAGCACAAACTATAGTGCATTCGTCGTATACAGTGACCTTGGCGGAGTAATCTGATAGCAATAACTTGCCTTTCTGGTAAGCCTATGTATAAATATAAATAAAAGTTTGATAAAAAGAGGGCCTGTCCGGGATTTGAACCCGGGACCTCTCGCACCCGAAGCGAGAATCATACCTCTAGACCAACAGGCCTGCAGTTTATTATTATCGTTACTTTTTAACTTACATTTGTAGACTGTGTACTTGTAAACTGAATATAATTGTGTGCAAATCGTTTCTTCCCGACCGGTGGTATGCGTATCATCAAATGTAATGAACTGATAAAGCTTTGTCGCCGTCACCTTTGAACTTGAAGTCACTAACTTACAGAAATCAAGTTATACCACACAACTGAGATAATGAAAAGGAACTAATATGAAAGTAAGTTGGTCTACAATTGCCTTGGCCAGATTCCCAAACATTCTCGACTCGCCTACAGATTTACAATGACTTCTGCTAAACCAGTGACTGAAAGCCTTGAAAAATTATTGGAGAAGAATGTAAAAGGAGATGATCTGGTTGAAATAAAAAGAATTCTTTATGGCAAAGAATTGTCGTGAGTAACAACGTTTTAAAAACGTGTAGAAGCTTTTTTAGCAATACATTTCGTATACTTCATTTTTTATCAGGAGGGTGAGGTTGGGATAGAGTTGGTTACAGCATTTACTTTATAACTATCAAAACATTGCTGTTTTATTAAAGTGGTCAAACGGTTTATTTATAAATAAAATCTTTAATACCAATCTGTCAAAATATTTGTTTTGGACAGGAATCTGGACATTCCCAAAGAAGCTCAGAAACTTGCTGAAGAACATGACTTTGAGATACAAGCATACAAATTTGGAACTATATTTAATGAACAATTACGGACACCAAGGTAATGTTTTAAACAAGTGTAGTTTCTGTACTTAATAATAACAATGAAGAATAACTTTAATTAACAAAGATAATTTTACTTGTGCTTAGAATTGTACGAGTTGGGCTAATCCAGACTCACATTGTACGACCCACCAGTGATCCACTAAAGGAGCAGCGAGAGGCAATCTTTGATCGTATGTCAAAAGTAGTTGATGTTGCTGCATATTGTGGAGTGAACATAATATGTTTCCAGGAGTTGTGGCGTGAGTTTTATTAATCAAGGTTTAATTTTAAATTAAATGTCTGTTGCTGCATTTTCTTGACAGTTTCACTTTTCTAATGTGTTCTTAGACTATTTTACTATCTTTGCAACTATTAGGCATATTTACTTAGATTTTAACTAGATATATCTCAGGTCACACCTTACACTTATATTTAAAATGTAAATAACCTAGTGTTACATTATACAGAAAATACCTGATACCTTTGAATTTTATTGTTATTGTCTAAGCATATCCATACGCCTTCTGCACACGGGAGAAACAGCCCTGGTGTGAATTAGCTGAATCTGTTGAAGATGGACCTACAACACAGTTTGTGCAGAAGGTATGTTTGACATGACTAAATAAGTAACTGCATTGAGCAGTCCTTATTAGGCTAATAGACACTCAGCTAGTTCAGTAATTTCTTTTTACTGTTGCTGATCTGTTGTTTTATGTAAGTAATCTGCCTTCTATTTTACCTAAGTTCATAATTGTAATGAATTGTAACTAATTTTTAATTCCTTCTGTTCAGCTAAGTCGACAGTACAATATGGTTATTGTGTCTTCTATCTTGGAGCGAGCTGAAAGTCTTGAGGATGTACTGTGGAACACTACAGTGGTAGTTTCAAACACTGGCCAAATATTGGGCAAGCATCGTAAGAATCATATCCCTAGAATTGGTGATTTCAATGAGTCTCATTATTATATGGAAGGTGATACTGGACATCCAGTATTTCAGGTTAGTATTGTTGATCTGCTTTTGAACAAGCCACAACATGTTATATAGAAAGTATAATTTAAAATGCAACCCAGCAACATTTACATGCTACTGTACAAACATAAAATCAGAAGCAGGCCCACCCCTGTATAATAGACTCATACCAGTTGTATGCGACCTTAAAACATTTAGGTATTGTGTTTGTTGAATGAAGTATATAACTTGAAATTATGGTATGAAATACTTAAAGACTTTGCTGTTACACTTTCTGAAATGCAGTATGACATGAATTAATATAAATGGAATAAATAAGAGTGAAATTCGCATGTAACATTTCATTGGGAGAATCTATTTAAACACTACACACAGGAAAAGCTAAAATGGGAGACATTTAAAACTTCTGTAATTAGGCTGGAACCACACACATTGAAAACCAAATCAGGACAAATTTAATCTGAACATTAAATGGTGCATGAATGATTTGTATATGTTAAAAATGTTTCATCTTACATCCCCGCTCAACAGACACCCACTAGGATGTAGTTGTTATTGATCTTGTCATCTTTATAGACACAATTTGGTCGAATTGCTATCAACATTTGTTTTGGGCGTCATCATCCTCTGAACTGGCTGATGTTTGGATTGAATGGGGCTGAGATTGTGTTCAACCCATCAGCAACAGTTGCTCCTCTTAGGTGAGATTATGATGATGTGGCTAAACAAACAGGGAAGTATTCAATATGTTTAACCTCAGTGGACCACTGTTAAATTTAATCTATGTAATGTTTTCCTCAGTACAGTGTTCAGGACCATTATTTGCTCTAATAAAGTTGACATTTGGATTTTACACTGTAGATTTATGTCACATGGACCCAAGTTCACAGTTAGTGTATCCAGATAAACATTGACTTTGACCACAATTTATTTTATTTTCTTTTCTGATCTGTTTCAACCTTTAACATATGATGTTTACGTCTGGAATCTGACACTGTTCCACATTGCAGTGCGAAAGGTTAAATACCATACTTCAGTCTGCAACAGAGTATTTCTGTGTCTAATAATAGTAATATCTATGATGCTTTGCCTTGAATCTGGTATAACCCCAAAGAAAATCTGCAATAGTTCTCAGGACTCTGTAAAGACATAGTTCTTAAGCTAATGATCATAATTACTGAAATTATGAGAAAACAGAGTGCAGGTCTTATCTGTTTGTACCAGTCATTATCTTTCTCCACATGGGATAGCAAATGAAAATTAACTTCATAGACTTTACCCCAGAGAAGATTATTTCTAAACAGATTTTTCTTTCATACACTGTTGCTGAGGATTGTGTCAGTAATCTGTGCGTATGTTGGTACTGAAGCCAAAGGCAGTTTAAGATCATTAAAGTCTCCTTTTACTTAACTTTGCCAGCTTTTCTAGTATCTGCAGTTTCTTTTCACATGGTTACTGAATAACTTATTCTGAAATTTCAGGTCATATTTAAGTATAATGTTATTTGTTGTGTCTTAACAGTGAGCCCTTGTGGGGAATTGAGGCACGTAATGCAGCTATTGCAAATGGTTACTTCACTGCTGCGATCAATCGTGTTGGCATTGAAACATTCCCAAATGAATTCTCAACAGGAGATGGATTACCACCTCACCGAGATCTGAAATACTTTTATGGATCCAGTTACATTGCTGCCCCTGACGGAAGTCGCACTCCAGTAAGATACCATTCATTCTGGGGAATCTTTTTTTATTGAATACTGATGAATAAATTGCAAAATATGCACTAGTAAAATGCATTGTCTTGGTTCTTCATAAAAGAACTGTGCTGAAATAATGTGCCATTCTTATGAATATATATTTGCATTGATAAAAAAATTAAAGCTTTTTTATAACACCTCTTTTTTGTATAAAGAATAACAGGTACATGAAGCTTGTACACTACAAGAACCAACTACTGCATCATTAATTAATGTTCTGAAAATGAAACAATGCAACTTCACACATCCCTTCTATTACTTACTGCTGTGGCACTCATGAATTAAACCATACATGATTGGTTCGCTGAAATCAAGATTGGATGGGTGGGACATATTGTACATATGGGGAGATGAAAATGTATATATTATTATAATTTTTGTCAGAAAGCCTGGAGGGAAGAGATCATTTTGGGGGACCTAGGTATTAATGGGAGGATATTAAAATACATCTTCAAAAACAGGGTGTGTGTGTGTGTGTGCATGGATATCATATTCTTCCAAATTTCAGGATGCTGGATATGGGATCCAATAAAGTAATAAGTATTCACTTCCTGTCTGTTATATACCATATGGTAAATGGCTACCTCACCTTTTGCATAATAATGTTACTTCTACTTTCTACAGTCCGTGTGTGGTTTTTCTAGGGTCTCAGTCGAGTCAGGGACGGCCTTCTGGTGGCAGAGTTAGACTTGAATCTGAATCGACAAGTCAGGGATTATACGTGCTTTCAAGTAAGTGTAATTCTTACATCACAATTTATAGTACATAATAAACCTAACATTTTCTTCTGCAACTTTTGAATAGCCCACCATACACAAACATTTTCTCATGCAGAATTTGCATGCTACATGCCAATCCTGCAGTATTAAAATCCCACAGTTCATGAGCATTATTGCCTTCAAACAAGATAGGTCAATCCAGATAGCTAATCTCATAACTTGAATAACCAAAAGAAAGCATGTGTCTTTGTGGGCAAAAGATGTGCATTTTATCCCAAGCTTGGTGTGGCACCTGGTTATCTTCTCTCACCAAGAACATGACCCCATCTGATATTCTCTACCTACTCTCTACCCAGCCCCCTCCACCTCTGACACCTGCTTGGAGACTTCTTATTGGCGTGGAACCTTCTGTCACTCCTCGTACTTGATTGGCCTATGGTGCCAAGATCCAGAAGATCATCATCACCACGGAAACCTCAAATCTCACACAGTAGAATAAAAATAGATATACTATTACAATTAAGAGTAATCAATGTGTTAGTTTTCAACTCACTTTTACACAAATAATGTTGCATAATAGTTACCCTTCTATTATCTTAAGTAGTTAATATTTTAAAGCACTTGTCTTCCTAATAAGTACTGTAATTGTGTTAAACTGATATGTAATGCAATGCATGTTTCAGATGACACAGCGTTTAGATCTTTATGCAGAATCACTGGCAAAAGCTGCAAAGCCAGATTATAAGCCACAGATCATACGTGACAATTAAAGCTTCATACTCTCATATCAACTGGATCACAACCAAAGACAATGTGCCTCAGGTAATGAAGGTTCAGGAGAGCTGTGAGTATGTGATCAGTTTCTTTATCAATCTGAGCTGAATAAATATTACCAAAATTTCCTAAATGTTTATATGAATTCACTTGCTTTCATTAATTATATACACTTTACTGATTTATATGAGTATCTTGTAATTTCTGGGTTCTTACAGCATTTTTATGTATTTACATATACAAACTATATACTGATGGTAGAGTCCTTTTCATATCTTATATTTGACATGGTTGAAACTGAAATTATACATGTATACAAACGTAATGATTATGGTAAAATGTTCAGACATACAGGATAAAAGATACAACTACTGAACTCATGGGTAAATATATATGACATTTATAATATTTAATTAGTTTATATATGCTAAAACATGTAAAATAAGTACTATCAAATAAGGGCTCTTTAATACACAGTTTGTTACCACAAATAACTATTCTCCTCTCTTGCCTGTTTTACGTGTTTGCTTCACAGGATTTCACTCTCCTTTTAATACAGAAATTAATAAAAATAAATTACATGGAGTCTTGTAATATTTCATATGCTTCACAGTTACAGCCATTTTTTGTCACATAACTGAATGTAATTGATAAGTCCTATTGAGGAACCAGTGTATGAAAGAGAAAAAACTTTAGCCTGAAATCCAGCTACTATGTCAGTGTTTGTATGTGAAGCAAACATATTTTGCAATGTTTAACCTGGCTGGTGTTTCTGGGAAAGAATATATGAAAATGGGGTTCAGTAAGGCATGTGGGTTTTTAAAGGGGACATGTTTATACAAAAATGCATTTTGTCAGCGGTGGAGGGAATTCTGTATTGAGTTGTCATTCTTTTGGTAAAAATATTACTGCCATGTGTGTACAGACCTCAAGCCACTATAGGCTATTTCTGTTTTTCGTACTTGTTCATCATAACTGTACACTGACTCTGTTTCCCACAACCACTAATGTGAATTCTGTGGTCAGTTATCATTACAGTTTCCTTCAGTTTAAAGAATGAAAAATGCCTTGCAGTAGGTGAGAACTTTTAATTCATAAATCATAACTGTCCTCATATTTGAGCATTTAGAACTGCAGCATGAATTACAGTATACAAGTACTGAAAAGGATATCTTCAGGTTTCTTTATATTTAAAATTGCTAAGTGCTGAAGTTTACATCTACAAATCACATAGTTAATAAAGTGTTTTATGAGACTTTTTATCCTTTGATATTTTGCTAACTATGCCAGATAATAAAGTAAAATGGGTATAATTGAAGTTCAAGACACCACATATTAGGTTAGAGTGTACCTAACAACAGATTGTGTTTACTACTTCCAAAGAAAATAGGTGATTAAATCAGTCCCTACCATATGCATAACCAAATATTTTTTAAAAATTCTTACATCTACAACTTCTCTTAAGAAAGGCATTGTTTACATTATACTTCATTTGAAGCTTTTGTAATCATATAGTCATGCAAGCTGACACTATAAAATATACAGATTTACTTATTAAAGACTTTTCCTCTGAATATGCAACTTTGTTATAATTTATGACTAGAAAGTTAAGTTGTAATATCTCCTGGAATTTCTTGTCGTATGCGATATCTTCTAACCACCAACCAGCTCGCAAAGAGAACAAATGCTACTCCCTGTATTCCTGCCAGTAGGAAGAAATAGTAATCTAGATGGCCTTGGAAGTGTTGAGAATCATGTCTAATCCACACAGGACTTAGTGCTGAGATAAGTGTTGTACCAAGTAGAGACCCAACACCTTCCATAGCAGAGAACATTCCCATAGCTACGCCTTGCAGTGGGCGTGGTGCAGCAGAATATGCAAATTCCAGGCCTATGTAAAACACAACAATTAACATTTTAAAATGTGCATTCATGTTTTCAATGACAGTAATAATAAAAAAAAACAGCTATTAGATTGGATTGCAATGTCCCCTTACCCCAAACCAGCTGTGACACCACTGTTCATAAGGTCACATATTGTAAATACCTGTTCATATTCTTGAAGCACTACCACATGCTATGTTAACAAACAAACACGAACTTGGGTGTTAATTTACTTACCAGCAACACCAGCAAATACCTCAGCTGACCCCACCAAACAATACTGAGGTATCTGCCATAGCAGGGAAATATCACTGGCATTATATGTCCAATTGTGAATAACCTGAATGACTCCATATCTGAAAACAATATTGTAAGAATCTCATAACTCACCATAATGGACCTCTGAACAGACATAAATTCTCAGTCTGGAATGATACATTCCACAATGAGAATTTGTTATATTTATATTAATTATTTTTCTATGTCAAAACTGAAACATCTGTATCAAACCAAGTTAGGTTATAAACACCATGACCCAGGTTGAACTTTTCCAAAATATGGTGGAAGACCAATACTGTAAAAGATACAGGATACAATATAAAAACTGAACAGTTGTTCCCAATTTCCCATTGCTGACCACATGTTTAAGAAACATAACCCACTGGTTGGTGAAGGATTGCTGTACTTTGAACATCTAAAGATGAAAGCAGGATTCACATTGGTTTCTACTTCATAAATTACATAAAAGACTAGCAACTTAAGATACATACCCCTCTCTCCACTGTTGAACAGAAAAAAATTCTAGCACTCCAGCTGATACAGCTGCCAGAAGACTAAAACCCATTCCAGTGGCTGTATAAAAGAAATAACAGACAACCCTGAATGAGTGAAATGTTGCAAATTAATGAAATGTACTTGTGATATGGGACTGCATATAGTGTACTGTGTAATTTTAAAGAGGCATCTACAAGAGATAGTATGAGTCGCGGAATTGCCAGGTCACTTTCGTTAACTCCAAGCTATTTTTATTTTGAAAGGGATCAAATCCTACATCAGCTCGCCTTATATGTTTATAAGACAATGACATGATTATTTAACCACATAACAGACCAGAGGTCTGTCATTTTGTAAATGCATAACTTACTTTGCATTTACTCCAGTGTCAATACACATTATTTTCTTTTCTGCAGCAATTCATATGTGTGGTACATGTAGTGTGGTTGTGGGAAAGATGTCAAGGAAACTTCATTGTGTAATGCTAATGAATTAAGTAAAGCTAGATATAATAAGTAAACAAGAAGAAGGTAGTCCTATGAAGCATCTGCCAATTAAAAACTAATTTCCATAATGTACATGTGTAGACACTTAATCTGTGTATAAATAATTTTAATTAAATATGGTGTCTTATAGTGAAAATGCCAGATCTCTGGAAACATCCATTACAAAACATAAGTATGAAATACACATTATGTATATTTTTAGTTTAATAAGGATATGTCTCCAAAATTAATGGAATGTTTTGTAATATCCACAGCATTCTTCCTTTCCATTACCATGGATAACCAAAAGTATGTGGTACATATCATCAAGTTACTGTAACTGTCTGCATTTCTTACTTAGTTTATTAGATTAACCTCTCTTCCCATTATAAGGCACAGTTGAAAATATTTACCAATTCTTGTGAGAAGGGAGACACGGACCCCAATCTTATCAAGAGTCGGATATATAATACCATTCATAAGTGGAATCAGTGCCAGGATGAACACTTGATCAAACAGACTCAGCCATGCTGTGGGCATCTGCATCAAAGTATTGTATTATAATCAGTAATATTCTTGGATTAAGCCTTTCTAAATCTGTTCTGTTTCTACAGGTTGGTGGAACTAAAACCTATTTTTTATAATAAATCACTATAATGATTATATACCTACTATATGAAATTCATGTCTACAATTTCTGTTTACTTTTGTAAAGTTGCTGATGGTTAAGAGAAATGTATAAATTAAACATTGTGTCAGGTATGGCTACAAAATAGAGGTAACACTGCTGTATATGGACAGAATTATATTAGGGTGGGTGAATGTGCAATCCAGTAAAGAAGGGTTGTAATACTATAATGCTCTTAGATCACTTATACAAAGAAAACAGTCCTGGATAAAAATGGGTTGCATGAGGATGTCGGGTGAAAGCCTGCAAGGAAAATGAAATGATATACTCTGACATATTGAACAGTTGCATGGTCAGCATCAACATTTTGCAATAGCCAGGACGGATGAACACTATGCAGGGTGACTCATCTTAAACCAAGTATGTTGATCTGTTCTGTCACTGCTGCATGTGGACAGCACAACTGGCAGCTAGAGCTGGGGTGAGCTACATATCCTGAAAGACATTCATAATATGTGAAAGACTGCATCATGTCGGGTCCTCCAGTGCCTCTTCCAGGAGCAAAAGTGGCACCATTACGCACTTGCTGTCTTTAACCTAGAATGCAACCAATGAAGAGGGGTAGGGAGGCATTCCTTTACTGTATCTGAGCTATGGATGAAACTTGAGGATGGTCACGCAAGCCCAAACGTAAAAAGGACAACAGAATGAATGGCACCACCTGGATGGAGTCTTACTGCCAGAAGAAATTTTACCAACAACCAATAAACACTGTGCCTATTGTAATGTGTGATGTTCATGTGTGACACTCTGCCAAGCAGTCATGTTGCATGACACTTTGTATGACCCCATGTGGCTGCCAGTATCAAATAACTTCTGGAAAAGTGTCAGTATTAAACCATTGAACATCCAGCATATATCTTTGGAAATGAGTCCTTGTGTATTTGATCTCTTGTGGACATGAAGAAAGAAAAACGGTCTGCTGTGGCAAGTGTGAAGCACATAAAAGATGATAACTGAATGGATGTAATGCCTCATGGATCCAATACAAAATTACTCATATACCACTTACGTTGCCACTATTTTCTCTCCATCCTTTGTGTTATCTGACAGAATCTATAATACTAAAATTAGAGGTCAAACACAGGCAAGAAAGGACAGTTTGATATACATGCCTTATGACTTTTACACTTAATAAATTTACCAATATAACTTTAAAATTTGTAATACCACTTGGTATCATACTGAGCAAGAAACAGAACTTACATTGAAGTTGCTGCCCTTGCCTTCTTGAGGAAAACCAATTTTCAGATGCAATCCCTGTTCCTGGAATCCTGTCTCTATCTGGAAAAGATAATTGAGGTTTGTCAGTTAAAATCAATACTATAAATCTGGTCAAGAGTCATCTCAGAAGTGAAGTCTCTATGGATCCGGTCTGTGATAAAATGTTGTCGAGCTGCAGCTCAAGAGCATGTTTTTGAGTATAGAGCACTGGTAGAGCTGGTATGGAACATGAATGCTGAAAAAAAACTGCCTTGGTTCCACTTTATTCAAGATTTCCACAGACTGAGGCTTATAAGTGTTTATAAAATACAAATGGAACATTGCACATTGGTGTGCATAAATAAAAGACAGGATAAGAAACATAGAGTACTTACCTTGCGCTGGGTAAGTGCTCTTTCCAAAATGTTCATTATATACAATCTCACACACACACACACAAAAATTCTATTCTGTGGAACACTTTATGGGAAAACAGGTATAAGACAGAAAGCATGATATGCACAATACTGTTTATCTTATAAACAAAATGATGTGGACAAATAAAGTTCAAAAATTCCAACTTATTGGAAGTATATAAGAAATATTAGCTGCCTGTATCTACACAACTCAAAAAATAGTTGATTGTAACATACAGATAATTAATTAATGAAATGCAAGAGAAGCCAAAATTTGGTAACAAGAAGATTTAAGGAAACAGCTTTAAAGCTATTGAGCAGATGGAGAGTTTTATTATTTCATGAGCCATATACCTGGAAAAACACAAGCCAGTAAGGAAGAAGGCTGGTGAAGAGTATAAGGATTATTCCCAAACGTTTAACATCCTCCACAGCAGCATCATGGTGGCTGCCCCCATAACGAATCTTGGCATAGTCGAGCCATGATGGGGCCTGTGCAGTGGATACTGGGCTCTGATGACCAGCTGACTGCTGTGAGAGCAGATTATGACGTTCCAACACTGGAGAGCTACATACAGAATGAGTAATTTTATACACCTCCTATACAAAGAAAAATACATGAATTGGTGTTATAACTGTTTGGCAAGTCACCATTATCAAATAGGATCCATAGTGTCCCAAAGTGTATATAATGCTGTACTGATGAAAATCTAAAGTGACATTTGCTTTTGTGCTTACATCATCAATATCCATTATAATCAAGGCCTAAAGGGGATAAAAAAACCCTCAGGATTTACAATAACTGCCCTCCCAAGGTACAGGAAACAAATATTGTAAACTTGAAATTCCTCTGCCTTTTTTCACAAAATTTCTCCACACACCATCATGCCCTCAATATGTATCAATATGTCTCATATTATCTGGTAATTGTAATCAGTGACATCACAAATATTACTATTTCCATGTGACTTACTCAGCAACTGCTTGTTAGTTTCAAAACACCAAACTGCCTGTCTTCTCACATATCATAACTCTACTATGGAATTCTATATGTAGAATCCTTCTAATATTAATACACCAAACACTTTTACATTGTATATTGTAACCTTGTTAAAAAGGTTCTTGCAGACATGTCTGAAGCAACTTATTGACAGCAGGCAAATAAGTAATTTAGTTTCTGCAATATGATGTTCTCATGGCAGTGAAGAAGTCTGTTGTGGGTTGTAACATCATGTGCTCCTGTAAGTGGCCATCATCATTCTGAAGGAATGTACTACCTCCATCTATAATCTTTAGTAAGGAAGTTGAGTACAACATACTCCACTGAAACTTTGGTAACCAGCTACAAGACATCACAGTGTCACAACCCAGAAGTCTACAAGAAACAAATAATTTACTGAACTGATTACCTTTGTATACTACCTTGCCCTGGCTGACAACAGCAACCACCAATGGCATCACGCAAAATGCACAGTATGGACCTCAGAACAGAACCAGCTGGCCGATGAACTAAGTAATAGGGGCGTCCAAGAGAGAAAAGTATCAGAGCCATCAATAAACAGCCACCTGTTCCAGCAAATGCTCTCAGGAATCCATCTGTCATGTCCAGTGCTACATAAGACAGTGCTCCTACACCCAACAGACTTCCAGTGTTGACACACCAGTAGTACCAGTTAAAGAACTTGCGGAGAGAGTCAGCTCCACCGTACTTCACCTAAGACGAAACATTAGAATTTGTAGAACCTTACACCAAATTAAATTCAGAATCTTGGTATGCATATCCCCCCTCCCCAAAGTCTAGTCCAATTGCAATCCAGAATTTTTTTTATTCTATGGAAGCTTTTGGTCTACAGATAAGGAGCTATACTTCTCTACTGAGAGTGGCATATTTTTCTGCTTGTCTTTTCAGTCTCATGTCTTTTTTGGACTCTAAATTCTGTCTGTGTTGGAAATAGCAGGTGCCTACCATGGTTTGAGTCCATAACTAACTATATGTAGAAATCTTCAATATATTCCAGTTACTGAAATAATATCTGAATTCAAGCACCCACAAAACTGTTCAATCACTCATTCAAAAGCTAATATTGCCCTTATGTCTGGGAAAAAAATAAAGATGACTGTCTTCTGGGATGTTACACCATGTAGTCTGGTAGAAGTTTAGTACTAATATCTGAGGGCAATAAGTAAGCTGCATGCAATTAATTCATTCACTGTCAGACTTACAAAAGTTGCAAAATTATGCTACAAAGTTAACCTTGCAATCATAATGTAAAAGTAAAGTAAAGTTTGTCCCACTATATGCCATGTAGGCGTTTGGGGTGAGTGGAGGTATAGCTCCTCTCTTCCTTGACCTCGGCACTAGATGGGGGTGAGTGGTCAGCATCACGCCCTGGCCGGCTTTACCCCCGGTACCCATTGTAGAGGAGGCTGGGTGGGCCCCAGAGCCGGTCTGGACACAGAGGCTAGAGGAAAAATCCTCTGCCCCCGTCGGGGATTGAACCCCGGTCGTCCAGCCTGTAGCTAGTCACTATACTGACAGCTATCCCGGCTCATGCAAGTGTTAATATGTAACAAGGTTGTAAGACTTCTGTTTACTATTATAGAAGTATACATTAGATCCTGATGAGCAAACAGTCATGCAGCAGTAAAGGCAAAAGAATAGCTTTTGAATGGAGTCTCTGTGCTAAGATGTTTTCCTTCCCTTGGCATCTGCAGTATAGATGCCATCTTTTGCAGAACCCCTGAACATGTAACAACATACAATTTAATACCGAATGAGAGTACACATCACAGTGCTTCATAATAATGAGGTGTGTAGTTAATTTCTGACTACGAACAAGTCATCCTAACTAACACAATTTTTGTTTTCTGGAATCCTAGATAAATACAGGACATTACTTTAAAAATGGTCACAGACATTACTTCTCATATCACCTTACTGACTCAGAGTTCCAAATCATTGTACCATTTGAACTGTATCACTCCTGCAGTTGATACAGTATCATTATATAATTAGATAAAAAACAATGAACGAAAATAAACATAAAATTGCCAAGGAACTGTAATTATAATGCATATGATAAACTGAAATGTCACATTTTACATACATGCAGTTAAATAAGAAAGAAATTTCTTTGTAATAAAGAACATGGGAGTGAAAATCATTAACGTCATCTAATGGTCAAGAGATAGCCACGGTGGTCTAGCAGTTAGAGAGCTGGCCTTGTAATCCTGGGGTCTCGGGTTCGATTCCCGAATTTATAACTTGTGCAAGACCATGGTCTAGGCAACATGGGGTTTCCCTCTGGGGGCTTCCCCGGTGTCTCCGTGGCATCCCAACAATTACTCCATTCACACACAGAAGAAGGCAATGGCAAACCACTTCTGGATCATCTGCCAAGAACATATATGAACAGGTCCCAGTCCGAGAAAAGGATGGAAGGATCCTGTTCATATGGACAGAACACTAAATAAAAAAAAAATGGTCAAGGACTTTTGGCCACTTGTTTGGCATGTTCTGACCTTATTCATTCACAACTCTTTGAAGGTCATCCTTGGTGTATTAATCCATATCATTTATAATTTACTAAACAGTTTTGAAGTCTGTCTCTTTGCATTCTTTCAATATGTTGAATCCAATTGGTTTTATATTTCCCCTTATTTTTTTAAATTTAATTTTATCATCCACTAAAGAAATTTCTCCAGAAACAAGAATCTTTAATAGTTTTACCTGCTCAGCTCCAAATGATGGTATATTAGCACGCACAGTTCCTGCAGCAATGCCCACACAAATTAAGATGCCATATGTCTCAGGTACACATGATGGCAATATAGGGCTCCGATGACAGAGAACACCACTAGCCATGACTGACAGCAAAGTGAATCCAATTACATAAAGAGAGAGACCAATAACAAGAGCCCAGTATCTACCTACCTGTAAATAAATATGTGTAAAGTAAAGAAAAATAATAAAATATTATAAATATGAAAATACATTACTTTCTGACTAAGCGTATCTTTAAAACTCAAAATTGTATAGTCTCATTGGTCTAAATTTTCAGTTATTGCAGACATTGAGCCTCACATCAAACTTACTGTTTACTCATTTAATCAGTTAAGCATCAGAGAGACATAAAACCTATTTTTCACACAGAAACCAATATTTTCTTTGTATTTTATATATAATTCAAGCTTATTATAAAAATTACATCCTGGTGCAGTGTGTGAATTCATGGCAGTTAATGCTTGTACAGCCACTATTCATAATTGTCAACATTTTTTGTTTTTCCTTACATAAAAACTGTACAGCAATAAATCCAAGAACTTGTGTTAATATACTGGAAATTAAACTTGAAAGAATGAAGTGAAGATCTGCAAATACGTGTTTACTGAAAGATGTTTTCATTGTTTATGAGAATTATGTTATTCAATTATACATACCAATCCATCGGCAAGCCATCCTCCTCCTAGAGCTGAAAAGTGTGCTACCCCTACAAGGATAAGCACTGCTGTCATAGACCCACGAGGTGACCATCCTCCCAGACTCAAAAAAAGGAAAAGGTTGGCTACTAATGCATAAAATGCAAGGCGTTCCAATGTAAGGGTCACTAATACCAAACCACCTGCAATTGCACTCCGTCGAGGATCCCATGGTGCTGGCCGTTGCAAAAGTGGTGTAGACTCAGTTTCCATTGGGTACTGCACACACAAAAATAAGAACTATTAGCAGACCACAGGACATATAGTCTTAAAACTTTGCAAGTAAGCCATATTGGTATTAACAATAAGTAATTTTTAGGAAGTAGGTAATAATTCTGCAGGAAGTCCATCTTTCCTTTTTACATTGGATTATCCCAATAAAAAAGGTCAGCCATTTGTCAATCGATGTCTGTCCGGATTTCTAATGCATAATCAGAATGTCTATGGCAGGAGGCAGTCAAGACGTACTTTAAAGTAATATCTCAAAATGTGTGGAGGGACTGACGAAAACCATGGGAAAACCTGCCAGTGTTCAAGCCGTGATCCGAACCCCTACAGGCAATTCATGTCCTATGATCTTACTTTGCCAACTTGAAACTTGGTTATCCAATATTTCCAAATGTAAGATACGACACGTCTGTTTATTTTTTCCAACATTTAAACCCATTGTACTCACTTATCGAAACCGATAACAAACTGTAGTCATGTTCACTTTTTTAACCCCGAAGATGCTCCCACATTACTATAGAAAACGTAGAACTTTACCAAATTAAACCTCACCTACAATTTAGGAAGGGCGCTTAAAAGGAATCATACTTTCTACCACACAACGGCTACAGATCCCACAAAATACCAAAAATCCATGAATAAACGCATGGAACTGACAAATAGCCTTAGGCAATATTTCACGCAGCGAATAAGTCGTTTGTCATATCAAAATACTAAATGTAGCCAACCGTCACACAGTGGAACCAAAATTGAATTTAGGAGCCAATGGTTGCTATCGCGGGTTGTTGCTGAATTGTTATATGTTTACAGTGTATTTATTGGTTTCATATGCTTTTTAATAATGCTGTGAGTAGCTCAGACGATATAACGCTGAATGATAAGACGATTAACAAATAATTAGTTAGAAAGGACGTGGAAGGAAATGGTCGTAGCACAGTTTTCGGTATTCTGCTGTCGCAAAGGTGCCAACGAAATTCACGAAACATCATTGTATATTAGGATCTCCGGCTATCTAAAACGAGGATTTCCTGAATACGAAACGGGAGTGCTATGCGCTTGTTACCATTGTTATATTTTTTAGTGTGTGGCTGTACGTTCTTGGAAGTATGCGCGCCCGCACGCGCGCACACACACACACACATTCTTCAAAAAACCCACAATGACTCGAGCGAGATTCGAACCCATGTCCCAGGCTGAGCAGTCACTGTGACCTGCACCAAACCACGGCCACGCTCGGACCGGATTAATTTGCTTCTCGGTTTACCGAGAACCGTGTTTCTTTCTTTGATATAAGAACCTGCAACTTTAAATAATGTTTTTATGAGCTTCATGCTACCAAGGATAAAATTGCATTTCTTCACGATGCAATATAATGATGGGTTTCGTATGATTCTCATACTAATCAGATATTTGTAAGACTTGATATTTCCTTAAACAGCCTTTACATTTTACTTTATATTTTGTATGTTTAATACGTTTATGTTTGTCTATTCTTTAGAATACCTTGAGGGATTTGAAGCTACTTAGCAATAAAAAAGCTATGCTGCTTTTGATAGAATAAATATGTTTTAAGGCAGTAATGGCATCAGCATATTCAAGTCTTGAGAAGGACTAAATGAGAAATTAGCTGGTTTTCGTATCTGAATGTTGGCTCTCCTGGACAAATAATTGAATAGATTTGAAATACACGTCAGGAACAACATTAGGCACCACGCCAGGAATCATCTAACCTTAAAATCCGGTAAATTGAATTTGTTATCTTTCATGTTATGTGCTGTTCACTCTTATTGTATGAGTTAAATTAGAAAAGAATGGAATTTATGTACACTCGAAAGATCCTTAATAAGCCTAAGCTAGGGATGTAGAGCATACCATAGCACAAAGACAATACCTTTTCATAACAAATGTAAATTACATTTAGAATACATATTAGTTACTTAAATAATATAATGTTAGTGACCCATGTATAGCGTTTGTTTGGTATGGTAAGAATTTGGGGATTATTCATAGGCTGTTTATTTCAGTTTTATTGGATAAGGTTTTTGTTGGAACATTTGTTCATTAGTAATGGCACATAACTGTAGTACCCTCTGAATCAGTTTTAGCTTGCTTTCTGTCATATTGCTTATGTATGCTTTTATTTTATTTATTTTG